AATGCCGTCGGAGAACTTCATCCAACTTTTCAACGAGATCTGCTAGATCGCCGTAGTTTAGGATGAGTAGATCATCAAGTATGCACGGACGTATTCTAGGTCGTGCATTATGTTCCAATCTTCTCTTGGAAGATGTCGGGATATTAATAGGCCCATTGGCAACCTTGGTACTCTGCTTTCCCAACGGGAGTACGATGGTACAGAGTTGATTCGAGTGAGGTGACAGCTCAATGTGATAGTATCCCATGTTCAGGTTCAGACTAGTAGCTGTACTCTGAATCATACTAGATTCAAGAGCATGTCCCTGATTTTGGGATGAGTATAAGGCTTCCGCTTAATCCTTTTGTTCAGTTCCCGGAAATCAGAGATGAAATCGTACAGATCGCGTCTTTCTTGGGAATGATGAAAGTTGGTGCCGCCCACTGGAACGGTTTTACCATTCTCTGAGTACTCCTGCTTCGCAGAGACGTTCGACCTCCCATCTTAAGAGTGTTGGTGTGACACCGTGGAATAGGGTAAGCCCTTGCTGATAGGGTTAGCATCGGGAGAAGTTTATTCGTAGTCGTCCATCTGCACTTTCCTAAAGTACCATCGAATAGGTCAGAGTACTCGTCAGTAAGGAGTGAAGCTGTTCCTTCTCTTCCGTTTTAACTGATCTTGACTTTGGGCAACCTGCCTTAAGTCAGCTTGTTCGTATTTCGCATCAAAAATCTTCTTGAGAACGATCTGCACTGTCATCGACAGCGGTAGGATCAGGAATGAAAAAGTTTTTTTCTTCATTGGTGTCGTATCTTTCATAGGAATAGATGCCAGTCCCATTCCCACTGACATGGAAGTGAAATCGAACTTGAAACCTAAGTCAGAAAGAATTTCTCGACCTATGATCATGTCATACGCCCCCAGCTTCTTGTGACGTGTAGGTCCAACTCGATAATTCTATCTTCGTGGAATCAGGATCATGAATGCACCCTTGCACTTCGGCTGGTGTTTAATTCTCCTGCAGGGGTAGTCCACATCGTTTGGACGCCCCCAGATCCTTCATGCGTAATTTCTTAGCATGAGGTTGACAATCAAGGTTCCGGATGCTCCTGTATCCAGTAAGCAACGGAGTGTAACGGGTTTTGGTTTCCCTTTTTTCTCGCTTGTTAAATCTACATAAACGATGGTTTGAGGCTCTTGTCTTGCAACGTTTACAGGTGGTTGGCCACGGACGAGGTTAAGATGCTAAATAGATCATAGAGTCTAGTTGAGCAGCTTCTAGGCAATCATCTAATTTGCCGTAGAGTTCATCAGTTGCAAACAATTCTTGTTTACTAGTTAGTGAGATATCTTCATCACTTTGGTATGAGAAATGGGAACAGGGTTCCGTTGAGTACATCATCCTGGCCTAATCCTCAGATAGAGATTTCTCCATCCAAGTGATTAAATTGATAGAGGAGTTGTCCTCATTGTCAGAGTTTTCTGATTTGCGCTTGGCAACAATGGTTCGAAGTTGCAGTGGTGCACGAGTGTCGTCGACTTCGTGTTTTTCGTCATTGTCGACGAGAGGAAGAATGGGTTTGTCACGCAACGTTTTCTCGAAGTGGTGAAGCATGCTTTACTTGAGCAATCTTCATGGTGAAGGAATAGGTTGAGGGTAGCTGAAAGCTATTGTGTTTGTTTAACAAAATGCACTACGCTAAAAGCTAGTGTAAATCTTTGAGTGTTTTGAGTTTGAGAGAATAAAGTTATGAGAGAGATTAAAAGCTATGAAAACTAATCAAGAGAGAGATCATCATCAAGGATCGTAGATCTGGCTTCCGCGGGAGACTATAAGGTGTGATAGAGTAGGTTGTGGTAGTAATCCTACGTCTCTCCCGATCCTAAAACGGAACGCGTGGAAGGTTTGTCTAGCCTGGATCTAGTAGCGTGGAAGTACTCCACGCTGGTAAATATCTAGAGCGATGTTTCACATCAACCTAGTGTGACTAGCGCGTCATTGAGAACCCTGTCTCAAATGAACTATTCACGAGAGACTGCGGATCATGAGTCGAACTCAAACCCTATCTAGGATCGAGTCGCGAATAAGGCTAAGAGCCGTGTATTGCACTACCATGGTGGCTGTTACCTCTTCCGTCATTGTTTGGTTGCCTCCCGAGTTGCTGTTTTGCATCCAATGCCACCCTGTTTTCTTGCCGCACCTTGTCTATCGATGCGATGTTCGGTTACTTATTCGGTAACCTTTTCTCCCCTTTTATTCCTGTTAACCATGACAATCTTGTCTCCCGATTGTTGTTGTTCGAAACCTCTCGCTGCAGTATTCGCCAGTAGTATCCTTAAAGATTCTAACCCCAATATTATCCCAATCTTCCCCTCTTTTGGTCTAGTTTCCCGAACTGTACTTAGTGATTAGTATCCTAGGAACTCTTAATTTGGAAGCACGTTTGCAGTGTTTTTGGATGCTTTGCATGACTGTTAAGTAGGAATTGCCCTTCCATTTGGCTTGGTACTGGATCCTGCTTTATATGGTAAACATCTTTGTTCGGAGGGAAAGAACTATTTAAAGCCGATCCTTTTTAATTACCAATGACCCAGACATGCTTCAAGTTATGCACGGTGTCCACCACACGCATTGTGAACAACGAGGGTGTAGGTTTGTTAAACGGGCCGTACTGGATCATTGAGCATGCCTTTAACAGATTTGTAAGTACTGTTTCATGGGGAACCAGAAGCTTCGGTGCATAATCCGCAACCTCCCTTCACGATTTGTATCGTAGGGTCGACCTTCGACTTTAATCGATAACCTACCTTGTAGATTGGTATCCTACCTTCAGGTGCGCTTCTCAGATGAAGCTGGCACTGGAATCAGCAAAGAATCCAAAGGAGGCCACTATAGAGAAGGTTGTACCCACTTTGACGGCATGGCAAACAGCCAACAACCAAGCTCTAACTCTTTTGGATTCGAAGGTTGACAATGTGTCACGAGTTGTGGCTAATGGCATTACCAAGCTTGGTGAATACATAGAGACTGCAGAACATCGGCAACTGAAACGCGACAAACAGTTAGGAGCCCTGCTGGTGAAAATCGGAAAGTCGATTGGAGCTACGGAAGAAGAAGAAGACGTGGAGGAACATCAACAAGGTGGCCTAGAGCTACTTGCCGACACCATGGAATTAGAGCCTCCTCTGGACTTAACCGATACTCCTATGCAGGATCCGGCTGGTGCAACTATGGACATTACCGGCGATGGTCTTCAACTTGGTGTTATGGACACCGAAACCAATTCACGTACTGTCAGCCCTTCACGTACTGTCAGCCCAACTGCAGCAACACCAAAGCCCAATGCCGAATTCAGGCTGAAGGTATGCATCACCAATCTCACGGAGTTGTTGGATGAATGGACTGGTCGACCGGATGGCTGCTTTCCAGATCCTCTTGGTGGTGTGGAAGGCAGGAACAACAAGTATGGTGCACAGTGGAGAAAGCACATACCAGCGAAGCAATACTCAAGAAGAAACCAAGCCGTGGCAGGAATACGTGCTTTCGCAGAGCAACACCAAGTGGATGAGCTAGATGCATGCACAACGCTGGACTACAACTACAAAGGAGACTGCAAGAGCTCCATTGCGAACTTTGTGGACTACTTGAAGGCACGAGGTCTGCTACAAAAGAAGAAGTCTCGTGGTCGCACGAAAAAATAGCGAGGAGCTTATTTTACTTTGAAAGTACTAGGCTTCCAGGCCCCTTGTTCTGCCACCTGCCGAGATGCAAGCCCCTAACATTCTAGCTCTATTTAAACTACTAGTAGCACCACTGTTGCTTTCAAAGAAAGCTTTGAACTCCTCATGAAGCTGTTGCTTCTCCATTGTCGCCTCTCGTTGTGTTGGTGTTGTTGACTGTTGACTGTTGTAGCCGTAAGATTGGTGTTGTAGCCGTAAGATAGGTGCGCTACATTGAAGTTAGATATTTGGAAAGTGAGAAAATGTCCACTGACGTCAGTGTCAGTGTGAGTTCGCGTTCCAGTACCGGTTGCAAAAAAGAGGTGCGAACTTCCCAAGAAATATGCGCACCTCGGTGAGGTGACTCCAGTTTGAATTCTGCTGTGCAGTATCTGGTTTGGCCTCTCGAGAGTCTGAGGGTACTGAAATCGACACAGTAAAAACAGAATCTTGACAAGTCAAACCAGATACTCTGAGTCAAAATCCAACTTTGACTCACACGATGCAGGCACTGTATTTTGCCTTGACTGATCGATCCTACGAAGGACAGACAGTACTTTTACCAACTAAATAATATCCTCCGTTCAGTCGTACCGGTACGGTACGAACCTGGTGCCTGGTACATGTACCTTGTACAGGTTATGCGAGGGCTGCTTGGCGGCTTCGCTGGTTTGGCTTGAACACATATTGCCGCAGATTTGGTTAATTAAAGATTCGATGATCATTGTGTACCGTACAGTCGTACATGTTGCCCCGCTATTTAGAATACGGGAACTGTACGGACGTACCGCTACGGGTACCGGTACTAGCTACAGCTGTAGCTACGACTTTAAGACTGTACTAGCTACGTAGACACTCTATGATAGCTAGACTGGATTCGATTCATCATTCGTCATCCAAACTCTCAAGCGTCTTGCCTTCGCCCTGTACAATGAGAAAATCATCCCAGATCCCATGGCACACCAGATCTCCTACTAGTATGCATAACTAAACTAGTCTATTGAATCAACTCGGAGCACTGCTCCCTTAGAGTACAGTACTGAAATGAGTACGACGAGCACCTAATCGTAAAGCGTCAGCCAGAACTTTGGTATTGAAGTATTTATGGTCACTGGTTGCTCGGTGCTCGAGTACAAGCACCAGATACTACAATTTTTACCAGGTTCTTACACCAAGATCTCAAAATTTTGATTGCCCTTCCAAAAGGATCGCATTTGGCAGCCTTCCATCGTTAGATCGATTTCACGAACGGAACACAAATTTGCTTTCAACACATTGCGAAAGACGAAAGCAAACAGACGATGAGAGTCCTTTGTGTCTGCGTCACCCTTGTGGCGGTGATTCCTCGATGCATCTTGGCACAGCCGGTAAGTTTGGCTGCTGGTGTACCCTACGTGGGTGATGTTGGCTTTATTATGCATCGATGGCTTGAGACAACGATGCTGCAATTGGCAGCTTTTGGTTCTTGGAACAAATCTCCACTTTGAGATGAAGCTGGCCTCTAGCTAGATCCCCTTTGTGTTTCTAACCATGAGTGTTGTTTTTTGCATCTTCATGAAAACTCCTCTTGATTGTAGGTCAGTGGATCCGGTTCGGTTACTGCAAAAGCTGGAGATGCTTGGTTGGACGATGGTTTCAATTCTGGCGATGCCGGCCGTGGCCATGGCCGCGGTGCTCTTGATGGAGCTGAAGAAGAGTCGACGGACCTCGATAGGATCATGGACGAACACATTGCTGACTTGGAAGAAAAGCCAAAGACCATCAAAGACCTCATGAAAGTCCTGTTAGATGTTGACTTTACTGTACATCCGACCCTTGAGAACTTGGTGGAGACCTTCAAGACTAATGTTGACATTGCTCTAAAAAAACTCCCCTCTGCTGTTGAACTGGCAAAGGCTTCTGTGGCCGAGGACCGCCTATCAAGGAAAAAGAAAGAGCTTGCTTCGTCCATGGGGGCGGAGACCAACATAAAAACCCGTGCCCTCCGTAGTTCTGCTGCGGCTAAAAAGCCAGAGGCTGACACAGTTGAGACAAGTGACAATGGCAGTGAAACTGTGCCAAATGCTGATGGCCAAGATGATGATGATGCCTACGATGGTGATATTGGCTCTGACGACGATGACAGTTTTGACAACTACGAAACTACCAATGACTACTCGGCAGATGACTCTGCTGACAATCTTCAGAACTACACTGGAAATGCTTACTCATCATTCACGTCCTTGAATTCCACCAGGAAGAAGACAGCAGGTGGCCGTGGCCGTGGCCGATCTCGTTCGCATGACCCCTTTGGCAGCCACACAAGCCCCAACCATCACAGACAGAAATTCTTTAAGAAAATTCAACAAGGAATCTATGATGGCAATCATGATCACCTCATGAGATTTCTTGGGGGTGCTCAGGCCCATGACACTAGGGCGCACAGAGAGTTTATGGACATCCAGCACAATAGTCGTCGCCGCCTCAGTGAAGACGAAGAACTGATGGGACGTCAGTGCATGCTACTGGCAAAGTGCACGAAGTGCATGAGCCTGTATGATACCATGGTGTACTTCTATAGGTAAGGGCCTGAAAGTTGCAGGAATGATTCCCAATGGCACGTCATTGTGCTACGCACTGTAGGCTCATGTCCAATCTCGTTTTTTGTTTGATACAGTGATGACTTGGACCCCAGCACTGGTGAGCTTGACAATTCAATCATTCACTTTGATGAAATCGATCTGCGAAACAAGCACACAAAGGCTCGTGCACTTGTGCAATACACGGCTCTTAGCCTTATTCGCGACTCGATCCTAGATAGGGTTTGAGTTCGACTCATGACTGAGTCTTTCGTGAATAGTCATTGAGACAGGGTTCTCATGACCGCTAGTCATACTAGGTCGATGGTGAAACATCGCGCTAGATATTTAGCTGGCGTGGAGAGATTCCACGCTACTAGATAAATGCTAGACGAATCTTCCACGCGTTCCGTTTTTGGATCGTGGAGTGAGTAGGATTGCTACCGCAACCTACTCTATCACACTCTACAGTCTCCCGCGGGAGTTCAGATCTACGATCCTTTGATTGTGGATCTCTCTCGTTGATTAGTTTTCATAGCTTTCTAATCCTCTCATAACTTTCATTCTCTCAAACTCAAAACACTCGAAAGATCTTTACACTAGCTTTTAGCGTAGTGCATTTTGTTAACAAACACAATAGCTTTCAGCTACCCTCAACCTATTCCTCACCATGAAGATTGCCAAAGACGCATACACCAGCTTCGAGTCCAAGCTGCGTGACAAACCAATCCTTCCTCTCATCGACCTCGATGATGAATGCGAAATCGACGATTCTCGCTCTACCACCTACAAACTTCGCACTATTCCAGCAGATGCTAACAGCGCCAAGTACACCTTCAAGGTCCAAATCATCAATGGATCTGAGACTCCACGTCAGACCATCAAGTGGGCTGGACGTATGGAGAAGGTCTTCGTCGGGCTCGCCATTGCTACGCCTGACGACAAACACAACCTCCTCAGGGAGATGACTTCTAGCTCTGCCAAGAGCAGTTACGAATCTAGCTGTGCAGGCCACCGTGAAATACGTTGGAATGCCTTGCGCCAGATTGCAGTCAACGCGATTCCTCCACGCGACATACGTGGCGGTGAAGACGAAGCCACTTTCCAAGCACGTTTCCAGGCTGCCTGGAACGGAGCAGCCAGCCTGCTTTGGACGACGCTGACATTACGTTTGGCATAAATGCCTGTATCGAAGCGGTCTGTCCCTACAAGGCTCTTGAAAGCAGAAACGCTTCATCGCCGCAAGATGCGTAAGCCTGCTGATATGTCTTCTCGGGCTTATGTCAACACACTCAGTCGGATGAACACCGATGAACTTCCTCGTCTACACCTTTTGGACCCAACCAAATTGAACCATGACGAAGTCTTGACATTGTTTGTCATGGAATTCCACGCTCGTGGATGAAGAAGATGGACGAACACGACTTCGATCCTTTCTCAGCCCCTATCGGAGAACCATTGGATTCTGCGAACGCATGGAATCCTCCGAAGACTTGACAAGGGCGGTGATGCCAGCAAGCTCCTCGAAGAAGAACAACAGCAAGAATACAGTCTACTCGCAACAACGACCACTCTTCCAAGAACGAAGAGAAATGGTGCGACTACCACGAGTCAGCACTCACAACACTGTGACTGCATGACTCTTGAAGAAACTCAAGGCCAAGTCTCAGTCCTCGTCTGACCACGATAACAAGCCAACGTACAACAAGAACAAGACTTGGAAACGCAAGCCGACGACGCCAAGACCTACACAAGAAGGAACTCTCTGTCCTCATGAAGAAAGTTTCCAACGCTGCGGTCAAGCTGATCGCAAGAAGAAAAGCGAATGCAACCATGTGCCAAGCGCAAGTCTGACACACTCCGACAACGGACGACTCCTCTGTTGGATCCATCAACATGATGGACAAGAAGATGGCCGCTGTCGACAAGGCGCTTGCCGAATTCGACTTCAATCATTCGGATGGAGAGATCTCCGTCTGAGGATTAGGCCAGGATGATGATTCAACGGAACCATGTTCCGATTTCTCATACCTAAGTGATGAAGATATCTCACTAAATAGTAAAAAAGATTTGTTTGCAACTAACGAAGTCTACGGCAAATTAGATAATTGCCTAGTAACTGCTCAACTAGACAACTGACGATCTGTTCAGCATCGTTAACTTCGTCCATGCCAATCAACTCATCAACGTCGCACGACAAGAGACCTTGAAACTATCGTCTATGTTAGATTTAACAGACGAGCAAAGGGAAACGAAAACCCGTTACACTCTGTTGCTTATGGATACAGAAGCATCCGGAACTTTAATTGCTCAAACTCATGCTAAGAGTTTACTCATGAAGATCATGGGGGCGTCCAAACATTACGGACTGCTTCTATGAAGGAATTGAGACCCCGCACAGAGTAAGGGCAACTCGCGATTCCTGAGTTCCACGGATGGTAGAATTATCAAGTGGAATTTACACGTCACCAAGAACTTGGGGCGCAAGACGTGATCAAGAGTCAAGACACTCTCTGCGATCTAAGAATCAAGTTTGATTTCACTACATGTCATTGGGGTGGAACCAGCATTTTTCCCGGCAAAGATGGCAAACCAATAAAAGGAGAACTTCTCCATTTCCGATTCTGCAGCTGTCAGCGACAATGCAAATAGTCTCAAGAAGATTCTTTGATACGACATACGAACAATAGGCTTAAGGCAGATATGCCAGAGTCGAAATCCGTTAAAAAAGGAGGAGCAAGACTGCCTCATGCCTTTTCAACCAGTGCTTCGACCCAGTCAGATACTTTGGGAGAGTTGCGAATGGACGACTACGAGTAGAACTTCGTCCCGACGTTAAATCCTATTAACTAGGGCTCACCCTACTCCACGGTCCATACCAACACTCCTAAGAAGGAGGTTTGAAGTCTCTGCGACAGGGCACTCAAGAAGGTGAATCGTTCCAAGGGGGCGGCACCAACTTTTATCTTCCCAAGAAAGAGGGATCTGCACGATTCATTTCGGCTTTTCGGGAACCGAACAACGGATCAAGCGGAAGCCTTATCCTATCCAAAATACAGGACATGCTCTTGAACCCAATGGATTCAAGTGCGCTAACAGTCTAGACCTGAACACGGGACAATACCACATCGAGCTGTCCACTCACTCGAAGCAACACTTACCATTGCACTCCCGAGGGGAAGCACGAGTACCAGAGGTTGCCAATGGGCCTTGTAATAGCCGACATCTTCCAAAGGAAGATGAAAGCACGCATGCATGACTTTGAAAATGTCCGTGCATACGTTGATGATCAACTCATCCTAAGGACGTCGATCTCGCAGATCGCGTTTAACAGTAGGATGACCTTTCCCCAAGACTCCAAGAAGTCGGGATTGAAATCAACACTACCAAGGCCTTCCTCGATAGAAAGAACTGGAGTAACTAGACATTGGACTTCTCGAGAGGAAGCCAACTCTAACTAAAAGTAACAGATGCGATCCAGCTATCGCTCTTCCACAGGGAGAACTTCGTAGATCATTGGCCAATGAATACCAAGGTGTCCAAGACAGCAGACGGAGTAACCATCGTTCTGAACAGACTGTGGTTCCCCAGTATCCGATGACCGGTGATCATGGACAGGGAACGTGGGCTTAGGATCTCGCGCCTGTAAGAGGCCTCGGGTCGAAGCTACTCCGGCGTGTGATATGAGGTCAATGAGACTTTCGTCGCACAGTTCCCTGCGCGTCAATTCCACGTGACATAGCGGTGTCACCACCTAATCTCGTTTTCAGAATGCAAGCACTCTCGTCGAAAATATACCATGCTAAGCAAGCGTCGCCAGCGAGCTTAAGAGACTCACAGGAAATATCAACAGGTGACCTCAATGGAGGTTACACGGCACGCATTGTCTCCTCATTACAACACCATGTGACTCTAGCGATCACCTTGATAACATGTCAATCAACACAATATGTATTAATCACGAACCCGTTCTATATGACTGGTCAGCCGTCGCGCATCAAAGGTCCTAATGACACACAATCTGTCCCTTATGTCTTTTGCAAAACCTCGATACACATCGATTAGACTTATTGTGCCCTGGATCACACGCGCTACTCGAGCGATAGTATCTCCATCAGCGTGCACAGCTCATTCCCAGACAGTTTACTGAACTATCAACGCGCGATTTACACCCATACATGCCGTGTAGTACGCCTTGTAGGCTTACTGCTGTCCATACTCAAGCACATACAGTGCGATCTAATCCCACATGTCTACTATCCATATCTCCGAGCGAGCTCGACCAGACACACGCTTAATTTGTGCAATCTAGTATCACCCCCTTCAGTCAGACTACGACTGATTAACGTGTGCCTATCTCCTCGTACGTCGTCTGTAGAGAGAGCTGGATGTAATAGCATGCGCTCTTCGATTGTAGTCTTTGCGTTTGAGAGGATGTATCGACGACTTCTCATTGTGACGCATAGATAGGGAGTTGAGATTCAGAGCTCTATGGTTTGGTATTAAGTTAATATGAACGAAGTAGATGCAGTTAGAGATCCACGAATCTAATTCATCGCATTCGATTAGACCGTTACGCTTGAACTCCCGTACGTGGTCGATGGTGAAACTCGCGCTAGATATTTAGCTGGCGCTGGAGAGATTCCACCCTACTAGATAATGCTAGCGAATCTTCCACGCGTTCGTTTTGGATCGTGGAGTGAGTAGGATTGCTACCCGCAACCTACTGCTATCATCATCCACTAGTCATCGCCGCTGCGGGATTCAGTTCAGAATCTACGATCCTTCTGTAGTTGTGTTGCATCTCTCTCCGTTGATTAGTTTTCTAGCTTTCTATCTGTCTCGTCTTAGCTTTGCTTAGTGGTTCTGCTCCTCAAACTCAAAACACTCGAAAGATCTTTACACTAGCTTTTAGCGTAGTGCATATGTGTATGTGTGTGTGTGTGTGTGTGTGTGTGTTTGTTGCAGCTGTTTTCGTCGCTCGTTAAGGATAGGGATTAATCTTG